AAATAGGAATAAGTCAATTTTTCTTGGAAAATCCTGCACTCGGCTCCAATTTTCTCATTTTGGACATTTTGTTGATGAGGGTGTCACGGTCAACAGTCAAAACGATCGTCCTTTAAGAGCGTTTGGAAAGAGACAAGTCTTCATTTGTGCTGCTCTGGTGGGAGGGGCCACGTACAGAGACGCTGGAGACGCTGCTATGATAAGCACTGCAGAAAATTACCAATATTTTAATAGAAAATATAATTAAAATATTTTAGTAGAAAATCACCCAAGGGCCACATTAAAGGTCTTGGGGGGCCGGATCTGGCCCCCGGGCCTTATGTTTGACACCTGTGGCCTAAACCATGAAAAAAAGTGCGACATATAATCCGAAAAATACGGTAATAGTTCAATGCTTTGATATTTCCTTTGAGAAAATCCATGCTGTTTCCCAGTCCTCTATGTCATTTTTTCTCCTTTTTTCCATGTTTGTTTTTGACGCGAACTGAGCGTGCGTCTCTCTGATTGAGACCACGCCCCCTGAAATCGGGGAAACTTTGTAATGTTTTGTCAAAGCGTGTGTTTCTGGCTGGCCTGGTTAGCAGATTAATACACTGTCACTAGGTCGTTATATTACAGTTAGATTTTCTTTAACTTTTGTCACACAGTCCTATGATGAATATTTGCCATTTGCCTTCTGCTGAGAAACTGAATGGTTCTTCTTTGTTCCTGATGCTAAATGTCACAATTGGGTAAAACCTGACATTTTTATAATTCGAGAAGAAGGTGCAGTCACTTGGCATTGGACATCTGAGCTGACATTTTAACAAAGCCTCCTTTTATGACTGAGCAAGTTGTCACGGAGCATTAATAATTCTTCTTTTAAAACAACAGTTGTATATTATTGCTTTTGACCCTGAGGCTGACCCCAAACGCGTACATTTCCGACACGCACGCTTGACCTGGGTCGAGCCGAGCGGTCCTGAGGGTCACTTTAACCCCAAAAATCTATCAAGAGGGAAATGACCTACAGCAAAGCGTTCACACCAGTCCCCTCTCCGCAGGTTCACTTGACATATATCACCGTGTTTCTGTACTGATCAGGTAAGTGTTTATGTAGGGGCCCCTAGCTCTGGTAATTATGACACAGGGGCCTGTCATGTCGGGGCCGGCGAGGCTTAAGATTACATACTTTCAGCTTTTAGTACCTGCCTGACAGTGAAAGAGGAGCTGTTAGAAAGTAGGCTGCGGGCTGTGACATTTAAGTCCCCATTAACTCACTGCGGTGCTTAGAAATATACAATTGTGAGAGTCTTACCCATGGAAAGAGTCGGTGAAAAATTGAAAGGCAATGATGATTTCTTTATGGCCCAGTGATCTCAGTGTCACTATACAGAGAGGTACAGGCCCAGTGTCGTGTCGGGCTGTTGGTTTTATGCCCGTTTGACCAGGTCGGTGTGTCTTGATTAATTGGGTAATATTTATGTAATGAAGAAAACTCAAACATGTGCTCAGACTGCTCTTTGTTTTGTGTTAAAATGTTGAAAATTTTATAAAATATGTATAAAAACAAAAAAGAAATATACAATCGGCAATGACATCCAAGCACAGAACAAAATCAACGGTCTAAAACTTCACAAATACTGCAGTTCTTGCTAGACTTTGAGAGTGAATCAAGCCAAAAGAGCATTGGCAAAGGAGAATATCTTGCTCAAGGGCAATGCAAGAAACACCAGGGATTAAACCTGCACCCTGTTTGTGATTGACCAACAGACCAATTGTTTTTTTTAGCCAGAAATAGATTAAAATAAAGTTTGTTGTTTTGTTTTTCATTTTAGATGTTTTTTAATCACACTAAAACATATTAAAATGTACATCTTTGCTCTGTGTAGGCTTGCATCTCCACAAACCTGACCCCTATTTCACTTGGCAGAGCCTCTGTCTGTTTGTTTCCATGGAAATGTTGTTCGTTTGGTTATAATATTCCGAAGTACGCTATGAAACTCATCTATCTCCATTGCATGTACAAAGCAAGTACAGTCATCAGGCCTAAATACAGGCCAGATCTGTGATGAGTTGGGATGTGCAAAAATATTTAGTATTTTTTGGCAGATTTTACCAAGTGCCTGTTTACATGAGAACACTTGTGGGTAAAAACGGCAAAATATTTTACTGGAAGTGCTTTTCGTTTAGACGGTGATGGCGTTTTTGGGGCTTAAAAACGCAAAAATCTGAAACCACCCTCCAGAGTGGAAAAATTGAAGACACTCCGCCGTAGCGTTTTCGTCTACACTGCCCAAGACGCAAAACTCTGGTCAGATCTGTTCACGTTGCGTACACGTTTACGTCACATACATCACCACCTAGCGTCACCACCGAGCCGCCTGGCATGCATACCCAATCAAATTCCACACACTTTTGCATCACAGTATGCACGCAGATTTCCTCCCAGAAACGCTTGTCTAATCGTGGAATAAAAAAGTGAAGAAGCAACACCACTTTTGCGTCTTCTGTTCAGATCGTCATCATATAAACGTAGCCTCAATTATTTTGTTACAGCGCTACAGTTTTGTTGCTTCTTTAGTTGAAGGAAAACTCATTTCTGCATCACATTTGACATTTTCACCATTTTGATGATTAAAATGTTTGTTTTTCACATTCACTTTGCACAAGAAGTGGTTTAACAAAGACTTTTAGTATCACAGCCATGATTTGGCCTTTATTTTTTATTGAGCCATATAGAATCGATTTGAAATATATCGTATCAAATCAAAAGTGCACAAAAGTGTATCGTATCGAGGCCTATGTATCGAGTATCGTATCGGAAACTTCTTAATGATACCCAGCCGTAGTGATGAGGTGCCAAATGTGAAAAATCCACCCTGCTCTTCAGTTCATCAAAATGTGCTAAAAGATAAAAACAAAAATAACACAACAAAATATAAATTACAGTATAAGTATCAGTATTCATATTATTTCATTTATATGACCTTTTCCTGGTTATGGGACCGTTTTGAGGACCTAAAGCATTCCTAAGGCAACATTCCTCACTTTTCCTTTGAAACCCGTGGACAGGAGGAGAACCAAGTCTACCGTAAATACATTCTGAAATTGCTGACTCCTGCCAGTGCTATCTGGCCCCTAAGCAAAACTAACGTGGAATAACAAGACAAACTTTGGGCCCCTCAGACTCATTATGGAACATGTAGGGGCTGTTCATTCCTGCTGTTCCAGTCACTGTGAACTCATTTTACAGGAGCTACTTTTGAGGGTAAAGCCGATATGGATTCCAGTTACGAGCGAAGTTTGAAGATAGGGCTGGGTATCATTAAGAAGTTGTCGATACGATACATACCTCGATACAGTGAGTTTACGATTTGATACGATATATTTCAATTCGATTTGATACAGTTCAATAAAAAATAAAGGCTAAATCATGGCTGTGATAATAAAAGTCTTTGTTAAACCACTTCTTGTGAAAATTTAATATGAAAAACAACTATTTTAATCATCAAAACAGTAAAAATGTCAAACGTGCTGCATAAACAAGTTTCCTTCATCTAAACAAGCAACAAAACTGTAGTGCAGTAACAAAATAATTTAGTAAAATATACCAAAAAATACTCTTGGCGATATATCGACGCATTAATCAACATTCCTGTAAATGTACCAGAATTAGCCAGTCATCATCATATTAAATGATACGATATATCGATATTTTGATATTTTTGCACACCCCTGTTGGAAGATAAATTTACAATTTACGTTCTGGGCTGGCAAGACTTTAACAGTACAGGGTCAGTCCACCTCAGTTTACCCAGTGACTTAAACCCTACTTTGTCAAATTTTGATGAAACTTGGTATATAGGTAAATCATAGCCAGAAACGCCAAAATTTAAAATTTTAGTTTGATCAGACCAACAGTTTCGGAGATATCCCAATTTCATTTCTTCACTTTTTTGTGTGGTCGCTGAATTTCAAATTGCATTTACTCAGCAACTACTGGTCTGATATAAAAAAGCAATGTATCTCTGGAAAGGAGCAAATCATAATCATCATTTTATTTTTTTTATTTATTTAATCTATCTATCTTTTTTTTTTTTTTTTAATGCTGCTTTTATGTATTGATTTTATTATTTTTGTTCATTGATTTTATTATTATTATTTTATTTATTTTATTTTATTAGTTTCCTTATAGTTGAAACATAATTCTGATGATTTTTTTTTTTTTTTAAGTAAAATGTTTTGCATTGCTTTGTCAAGCACTTTGGAAACTGTTTTGTTTATAAAATGTGCTATGCAAATAAACTTGGATTGGATTGGATAAGGAATCCAAATCTGGCACAGTTTTGCATTTGAGTACTTTTGAGATGAAATACAATATTTTAACCTTGAAATTGACAATAAAAGGACACGCCCGACCTCAATGACTCCAATAGAAAAAATGTAGCCCTGTATGTCTACTACAACATATAAAACATCTGGAGGGGTTTTCTTTTTTTATTTTCACACATCTTTACCTAGAAGTTGACTTACCCCCCATCTTAAAACGTGCTAAATATCCAAATCTCAGCAACCATCAGTCCGATCATGCTAAAATTTGAGATTTTGGCTTTCTTGGCTCTGACTTTCCCATACACCAATTTTCTTTGCAGTTGGACAATGTGAGAGGTCAAATTTCAATGTTTTTGGGGTGAATTGAGGTGGAATGCCCCTACACTTGCTGACTTGTTTTACTTTACTTTTACACCCAAGAATTGTGCTAAAAACCGTAGATCTTTGTCAATCTGGAGCGGTGTCAATTCAAACTCCTGTCTGGTGAAATCTGAAGGAAAAATACTGCAAGGATTTTTTTAAACCTGCCACCTCCGCAAAGTTACTCCGTGTTGCTGTAACATTTTTCATGCTGAAGTCTGAAATTTTTCTTTATTAACACTTCGAAAACAAATGGAAAAAAATGAAAAGTCAACCAGTTTTGGCAGTCGAAAACAATACTAGTCTAATTCTTATTTCTTACTTACCTTTTGTGGATGCTGTAGTTTTATCTAGAAGCTTCCCGAGTGTATTCCTGGCTCCATCTGGAAAGACAAAAACGTGGTCAAACCTTAAACATTTTACAAAATATATATAAGTGCTATAGTGCAAGAAGCCTTAAAATTTTAGTTACAGAAAAGACTACACCTAAAGTTGGTATTTCCATCTGGACACGGCTCCATGGACATTGCTTCCATCTGTGAAGTGATCTACCCAAATCAAACCACACCTAATATGGCTTTTGGATAGTGTGAAATTCCAGCGCAGAAAACAAATACGAGCCAGAGTTTTCACAATGCAGATTTTGAAAGATTTGTGTTTCTTAAAATAATTAAAAAGTCAGTACATTATGTCACAGTGCGGGTTTATGGTCAGCTGGTCTGATATGTAGAACCAGCTGGACACTTGTTCATCCCCCAGAGCGTCCCAGAGCATCGGAAACACACACACACAAAAAAACAATTAGCAGCAGCTGTCCATTTAACACATGCATAAGGCCCGGTTCAGTCATGGTGGTCTGACTGCAGCTGAGTTTGCCGACAATGCAGATTTTTAGAAAGCATTTGTGTAACTTTAAAGATGAATTGTGTAGCTTTTCTGGTGGAGGATCCGCCACCTGCTTTTCTCCATGCAGATGTCATTGCTTTGTATAAAATGTTTCACAGTATGGCATTAAAACTTTCTATCATCATGGAGACCAAACCAGACCAAGTGACAGGTCAGATCTGTGCAGAGGCGACCACGCTCACAGTCAGAATGAATGTTTTTAGATTTTTTTGAGCAATAAAACCACTTGTAAAAGAATAAATGTAAGGTAGATGTCAGAATAATTTTATTATCCCATATTTGCTAAATACTTGTGTGATATTCTATGCCTATGAGTTAACCATTTATGTACTACAATTCTTTGATTTATAATGTACCAATCACTTGTATGAAAATGAAAAACCTCTGTGTGTTTGACAACTGTGTGCAGTGTCCTATCGCTCTAGTGAACATCGAGATGATTCCTCACATGAAGCAAACTCCCACTGTCACACATGCAAGAGTTATGATGGTGTCTGTCCATACCTAAGGCACCTCCTGATTGTTAATCATGTTTTATGTGTTTGGACTATGCATAGCTGCACCAGTTTCTTATTATGTCTTTGCTGGTTTCCCCTTCCCCTTGAGAATTATCATTCTGTAACTAGGGCCTCCTAATGAAATAAAAGGAGGAGAACGGCCTTGAGGCATCAGAACGTGTGGAGACTGTTGGTTTTGATGCCCACTCTCTGCCCGTTCTCCTCGCGAGTAAAACTGAATTAATCTCTTGTCTTTCTTCTTGTTTTTAATGTCTAGATAAACCTAACAGTAGATCTGTTTGATGTCATACTATGGAACATTTAAAGCAGAGCAATGAGCTATTCATAAAAACATAAAGGTGACGGACCCCTAACCGAAAAGTTACATGGTGCAACTTTAACTGTTTATCTTGCATTGATGTTCCATTCTAGAGATCGGCTGTTATCAGGTTTTTCATGGCCGTTGCCGGTACCGATTGTTTAGAGTCCAGAGTTGCCGATGTCGATAAGCTTTGCCGATATTTTTGGGCTGATATGTCTGAATCTTGTTCCCTAAAAATACATGATTTGAAATTAAAACAAATATAAATATTGGTATTATAATAGACCTTTTACCGCTCTCCATAATTAAACTATAATAAGGTAAGTTACTCTCAACGGAACTGATTTTAAACATCCACAACCCTGTTTTTACTAATAACCCATAATGGAGCAGTGTTATCTCATTTTGTGAATGCTATCAATGCACTAAAGCCGGGGTCATCAAACTAAGGCCCGCAAGCCAATTCCGGCCCTTCACGCCCCTTTGACCGGCCCCCCACCACTTTTTTTTATTACTTTTTGGCAAATAATAACACGTCTGCATCTTGTATTTTGTTTATTTTTTTCAGTTAAATTAAGTATAATCAATTATTTATATTTATATTAACATTATTATCACATATTTACATTTGTCGCTGAATTTTCGTCACCTGACAAGCTCGAGATCAAACAGTGACAGTCAACGCAGGAGCAGAGTTCTGTAGTGCAGTTAAGGACGGCAAAATGGCGAGTGTTAAAGTACCAAAAGTTGACAGAGAGTGTAGAATTTTCAAAGAACAGTGGACGACAGATTATTTTTTTGTTCTGTGTAAGGAGCTTGCAGTTTGTCTGATATGTAAAGAAAGTGAGGTGGTTTTCAACGAATATAATCTGCGTCGTCAGGATCATACAATTCTGTTATACAGCCGACCCGATCCCGGCCCCCATCACAGTCAGGAGAGATAATGTGGCTGTGGATAAAGCTTTATGCAGCAACTGGTGAGTACAAACCAAATACTGGCCTAGGCAGGAGATTTAAGGTCAATGGCAGATAAGCAAAAAGGTGTAAATATCAGCCTGATATATCGGCGGACTGATATAACGGTTTATCTAGTGTCGTAGTACTCGAGATTGGTCTCGGTCTTGACTCGGTCTCGACTCGAGCTTGAACTCGGTCTCGACTCGAGCTGGAACTCGGTCTCGACTCGAGCTGGAACTCGGTCTCGACTCGAGCTGGAACTCGGTCTCGACTCGAGCTTGACTCGGTCTCGACTCGAGCTTGAACTCGGTCTTGACTCGAGCTTGACTCGGTCTCGACTCGAGCTTGAACTCGGTCTTGACTCGAGCTTGACTCGAGGCTTGAACTCGGTCTTGTCTCGGTCTTGAAGGCGCTTGAACTCGGTCTTGTCTCGGGTCTTGTCTCGAAGGCTTGAACTCGGTCTCTTGACTCAGGTCTTGACTCGTCTTGACTCAGTCTTGACTCAGGTCTTGACTCAGTCTTGTCTCGGTCTTGACTCAGTCTTGACTCAGTCTTGTCTCGTCTTGTCTCGGTCTTGTCTCGGTCTTGAAGGCGCTTGAACTCGGTCTTGTCTCGGTCTTGTCTCGGTCTCGGTCTTGTCTCGGTCTTGTCTCGGTCTTGGTCTCTGGTCTCGGTCTCTCTCGTCTCGGTCCTGTCTCGGTCCTGTCTCGGTCCTGTCTCGGTCCTGTCTCGGTCTTGTAGGCGCTTGAACTCGGGTCTTGTCTCAGACTGGATGTCTGACAATCGACAAGTGCGATCATATTTCATTACACCCATCAATAAACTTCTTACCGCGACATGTGGTTGAAATTTGCCCAACAAAAGTGCATAAATGCATCTGTATTTGTCATGATGTGTGTTTGATAAATGTGCAGAGGCTGGTAACTCCCACTGTAAAACCAGTAAGAGAATGTAACTCCAGTTAGAAACTTGAAAAAACAGGTTTCAAAATCCTCCTCACTTTGATCACTTTCTTCACAGTTTTCTGTAAAGTGCCAAAGTTATCAAATTGTGGGTGAGAGTCCAAAAAGAGGCACAGATTGTTTCAGTGCAGTACAGTTTGCTTATTTTATGCCTAAATGAACATTAATCAGATAAAGTGGGGATAGATTTATAAAAAAATATTGGTATACATGTGCCAAAATAACTTTAAAACACAAATAAATGTAGAAAATGGCAAAGAAGGTCTCGATTTGGTCTCGATGGGCCATGGTCTTGGTCTCAACCCTCAGAGGTCTTGGTCTTGTCTCGGTCTTAGGGCCCTGTGGTCTCAGACAGGTCTTGGTCTTGATTAGTGCAGTCTTGACTATAACACTAGGCTTTTCTCGACTCAGTTTTAAACAACAAGGAACAGAATGTCACTCTGTATCATCCATGTATCGTGACTCACCTTTACAGAAATTCACCTGAAAAAGACCTGGTATGTATAGATGTATTACTCATCTCACTTCCATACAATAGCCGTCAGGAAATTCTACAGTCCCTGCTTCCCCACAAATGACTGAAAATGTGGCAGCGATTATGTGCAAACAGCCTCACGAACATACCGCAATCATAATGGAGCCAAGGCGGGTGAATTGTCTTGGTCAAACGTGGGGACTTGTCCGTGTAATCCCTCATTTGTTTAGAAGTCAAACTCAGAATTGAAAAACAAAACAAAAACACTGTGCAGCTGACTACCTTGGAAAACCTTTTCAACCATAAAATCCTGGGACATTTCAAACCACTTTATTCCAACTGCTCAGACAAACTAGTTGTAACTTTGCAAACAGTCCCTGAGCTGCAGCGGCCCAGTATAAAAGCCATCTGCCGGAGTTGTGCGGTGGGTGATCCCGAGCATGGAAGAGATGGGATGACATCACTAGTTTCCACTGAACTGAAGGGGGAAGCCAGGGGGCGGGGCCAGAGCTGTTCCAGTTTATGTCACATACAATGCACTGGGCTGGTCCTTCGAGTCATCTGTATATAATCTCACAACACTTCCGTCATTTCATAATTGGATGATTCAGAATTTGGAGTTTGCGAGCAGGCAGTAAAACAGATTTGAAAAGGTTAGAAGACTGAGAAAGTAGCAAAAGAGAATTTAACTAGTTGGCACATGCACGTTTTGCGTATTTAAAGGAGCAATGTGTAACCTTTCTGGTCTGCTACCTTCTTGTCTCCAAGTTCGCTTGACTTGGAATGTTCCACAGTATGGCATAAAACCCACTCTTTTTCACTGACAAAAGTTCAAAACTTTTCCATGACTTTTTCATGACCTTAAGTGAATTTTCCATTACTTTATGGTGCCCTACAAGTGTAGAATTGAGTATAGAGTATAATAGAGTATACTTTTAGGGTTAAATGTGAAATGTTAAGTCTTTCCACTCACCTTATGGTTTGGTATAGAGCTGCTCGATTATGGAAAAAATTATCACGATATTATTTTTAAGTTACACGATGCATTTGTTCAGCAATTCTCTCTCTAAAAAAAAAACACTTTATTATTGATAATTTATGCAAAACTTCCAAATTGAAAATAAATATAGGTTACAAATCTGTACTATAGAGCAGTTTTGGATTGTATAAAACATAAAATGAATAAAAATACACTTTGAACATGAAATAAGGCATAGAAAAACATAAATGTATCCAAAATAAACTATATCCAGCTGTTCTACAA